AATATTCTGTAATAACCTACATGGGTAAAGAATCTGAAAAAGAATGAGCATATGTGTATGTATAACTGAATCACTTTGCTCTACACCTGAAACTAACACAACATTGTAAATCAACTATACTCCAATAAAATTTTTTTAAAAAGAATATAAAACATATGAGCATAGCAACAGAGCCCCAAAATACATAAATCAAAAACTGACAAAAGTGAGAAGAGAAATAATTCAGTAACTTACAATAATAAACAGAACAGACAGAAAATCAACAAAGATATAGAAGACCTGAAAAACACTATCAACCAATTTAGACCTTACATCTATAAACCATTCCATCCAACATCTGCAAAAATACACTGCTATCTCAAGGAAAATCAGAAAACGTTTGAACTGAATGAAAATAAAAACACAACATACCAAAATTCATAGGATGCAGCTAAAGAAACGTAGAGCTGTAAATGGTAAATGTCTATAGTAGAAAAAGAGAACTATCTCAAATCAATAACCTAGGCTTCTACCTGCAGGCAGCAGAAAAACAAACTAAACCAAACTAAACAAGCTAACCCAAACTGAACAAAAACAAGGACCACAATACCAAAAAAGGCAGGAGAGGAAGAGGGCAAATGCAGTTAAACTATTGTAAGATTATTCAGGAAATGGTAAGAATGCTAATTTAAGGTAGATGCCAATAAGTCAAATATCCACTTTGTAATCTTTAGAGAAGCAACTGAAATAATTTTTAAAAGAGTATAATTAAAAAGACTTTAAGGCAAAAAGAATTACTAGCGTGAATGAAAGAGGGACATATTTCAGAATGATTTTTTTTAAGTATATTCAACAATAAGGTATCACCGTACTGAATCTGTATGCACTTAACAATGTAACTTCAAGGTATATAAAGTGAAGGTTGGCAAAACTATAAAAGGGAAGTAGACAAATCCACAATCATAGTTGGAGATGTTAACCATTAACATACCTCTCTTAGTAACTGACAGAACAAGCAGACAATGAAAATCCATATGGATTTATAAGATTTGAAGAACTCTAATAACCAATTTGAAGCAACTGACATTTATGGAAGAATAAAGCAACAACTGTAGGATACACATGTCTCATCAATTACACATGGAATATTTACAAAAATAAAATTTTGACCATGTACTAAGTCATAAATTATAATGGATCAAAATCATAGAGAATGTGCTGACCACAATGCAGTTAAATTAGAAATCAATAACAAAGATAATTATTCGCTAAATGTTTAGAAATTAAGCAACACACTTCTAAATAACCCACGGATTACATAAGAAATCAAAATGAAATTTTTTAAGCTGAATAATAATGAAAAGACAACATATAAAATTGTGGTGATAAAGCTAAATAGATGGTTAAAGAAAAATGTACAATATTCAATGCACATATTAGAGTAGAAAAGGGCTGAAGAAAATCAATAACCTAAGCTTCCACCTCAAGAAGCTAGAGAAAACAATGGCAAATCAAATCCAAAGAAACAGGAAAAAAAAGAAATGATTAAAAAAAATAAGAGCAGAAATACATTACGGGGACTTCCCTGGTGGCACAGTGGCTGAGAATCCACCTGCTAATGCAGGGCACACGGGTTTGAGCCCTGGTCCAGGAAGATCCCACATGCCACGGAGCAACAAAGCCTGTGTGCCACAACTACTGAGCCTGTGCTCTAGAGCCCGTGAGCCACAACTACTGAGCCCTCATGCCACAACTACTGAAGCCCACGTGCCTGGAGCCCGTGCTCCGCAACAAGAGAAGCCACGACAATGAGAACCCTGCGCACCGCAACAAAGAGTAGCCCCTGCTCGCCTCAACTAAAGAAAGCCCGTGCACAGCAAAGAAGACCCAACACAGACAAAAATAAGTAAATAAATAAATAAATTTAAAAAAAGAAAAGAAATACATTACAAAGAAAGCAGGAATACAATAGAAAAATCAATAAAGTTGGGTTTCGACTAATTTTAATAAAGCCATAGCAATACTAATGAAAATACAAATTACTAATATAAGCATTGAAAAGAGGATATCATAACAGTTCCTAGATTATTTTAAGGCAACTTTAAAATGAAAAACAAACAAAAAAACCCAACTTTATGGCTTAAATATGACAACTCAGAGCAGAGGTAAGCAAACTTTTTCAGTAAGGAGCAGACAGTAAATATTTCAGGCTTTTGCAAGCCATGCAGACTCTGTTCCAGCACTTAACCCTGTCGTTTTAGCTTGCAAAAGCAGCCACAGACGACATGTAAACAAATGAGAATAGCCGGGCTCCAATAAAATTTTACTTACAAAGTTAGGCCCACACCATTGTTTGCTGATTTTGAGGAAATGGAGCAATTCCTTGAAAAGCGTAACTAACCAAAACTAACAAAAGGAGAAACAGAAATCTAAACAGTCCTATATCTGTTAAAGCAATTAAATCAGGAATTAAAACTTTCCAACTAAGAAAACTCCTAACTAGTATGACTTCATGATTAATTTTTCCTAACATTTAAAAAACTGGTAAGGGGCAGCGGAGGGATAAATTGGGAGACTGGGATTGACATATACACACTACTATATGTAAAACAGATAACTAATAAGGGCCTACTGTGTAGCACAGGGAACTCTACTCAGTACTCTGTAATGACCTATATGGGGGAAGAATCTAAAAAAGAGTGGATATATGTATATGTATAACTGATTCACTTTGCTGTACAGCATAACTAACACAACATTGTAAATCAACTAGACTCCGATAAAAAAATTTTTAATTAAATTTAAAAAATGTTAAAACTAATAAAGGAAAAAAGTTGGAGATTTCACATTTCCTGATTTCAAAACTTACTACAAAGTCATGGTAATCAAAACAATGTGATACTGACATAAAGACAGACATACAGATCAATGGAATCATATGGAGGGCCCAGAAATAAACCCTCCTATCAATGACCATTTGATTTTCAAGAAGGGTGCCAAGATCATTCAGTAGCGAAAGGACAGTCTTCGACAAACGATGTTAGAAAAACTGAACAGCCATATGCAAAACAATATGAAGTTGGATCCTTGTACCACATACAAAAATTAACTGAAAAGGGATCAAATACCTAAATGTGAGAGCTAAAACTATAAAACTCTTAGAAGAAAACAAGGGGAAAAGCTTCATGACACTGGATTTGGCAATGATTTCTTGGATATAACACCAAAAGCCCAGGCATCAAAAGAAAAAGTTGTAAGTTAGACTTCATCAAAATTTAAAACTTTGGTTCTTCGAAGGATACTATCAACAGAGTCAAAAGGCAACCCACAATGGGAGATGATACTTGCACATCATATCTGATAAAGGATTGATACCCAGAATATATAAATAATTCCTACAACTCAGTAACAAAAAAAACTTTTTAAAATGGGCAAAGGACTTGAACAGACATTTCTCCAAAGAAGATATACAAACAGCCAATAGCACAGGGAAAGGCTAAAAATAACAAACTTACCGAGTAACAGCAAAAAATGTGAAGTAACTGGAACTCCCACACATTACTGGTGAGAATGTAAATTGGTACAACCACTCTGGAAAACTACTTGGCAGTATCCATTAAAGCTAAATATATGCCTGCCTCCTAGGTATGCATCTAAAGGAAATCAACACCTCTGTCCAATACAAGAATGTTAAGAGCTTTCTTCATAATTGTCAAAAGCAGAAAAAATCCAAATGTACCTCAAAAGGAGAATAAATATATAAACTGTGAATCTTTATACAACGGAATACCACAAGGCAATACAAAGAATAAACTGTCATTCATTCAAGAACCTGGGTTAATCTTGGCCATAATGTTGAACAAACGAATTCAAACACAAGTGATTCTCATTTAAGTTTCAAGAACAGGTTCAAGAAATTTATCTGTGTTGATAGAAGTCAGAATTCAAACACAAGTGATTCTCATTTAAGTTTCAAGAACAGGTTCAAGAAATTTATCTGTGTTGATAGAAGTCAGAATAGCAGTCACTTGTTTTAGGGGTGGGGTACTAATTACAAAAAGGCAAGGAGAGCGTTTTGGGGTGCAGGAAATATTTTATTTCTTGATCTGGATAGTGGTTACACAGGTGTATGCATATGCAAAATCTGAGCTGTATACTTAGGATTTGTGCTCATTAAAAAACAATGAAAATATTAAGGTAATCAACCTTGGAGAGTGGAAGGGGAAGAAACCAAGAATATTATTTCTCAGCGTTAACTCCACGTTATTCCATAGTACAGAAAGCAGTGGAATATAACTAAAAGTTACTAATAACATCACCATCAGATTGTCTTTCCTTATCTCCTAAAAAGCAGTGGTCTCTGACTCCTGAGTTCCCAGAGATAAGTTTTGTATTCTCAGGCCTAAAAGAATTGCCTGGCATATGTTAATAATAAGTGTACTAAGTGAATTAATAAATATATGAACTTTGAAGTTACAGTTCATTTACATCAGACCATTCCCATGTTAAAAAAAAAAGAAACTAAAAAAGTGATTAAGAAAGAAGTTTTCAACTATGCTGGCATTCTCAATCTGTCTATTCAATATTCTGAGGATGTCATGGGTAATGTCATTTTTCCCACTGAAAGAACTTTCCTCAAGATGTGACCTTGCTGTCTTTCGCACCACTTCGTTCCCCAAAAAGGAAAAAGAGAATATTTTCCAGCGTCATACAGAATCCTAGCAATGTAAATTAGCATATTCGGTAAAGCTTAAGAACTGAGTAACAGAGTGAACAATTCTGACAAGAACAATGAAATTTTTTTTCTATCTGTTGCGGCAATTTGGGGGATTATGATTCTAATAATCCATCATTAGTAACAAACCATAAAAAAAAAATTGTGTAAAGCAAGGTCTCTAGTTCAAGATAGCCCAAAATACATTAGCAGAAAAACTAAGCTTTTAAAGCATAGTCAGTGTAGGAAAGCACACATTACTTCTAAGCAGGCTGAAAATGTTTCCAGTGACAGCTACACCGCTTACCTGCTCCAGCACATCCAATTTTAACTCCAGCTTGCTGAGAACCACGTCTCCGCCCCATAGTGAAAGCTGTAGATCTGACGGCTTTAAGTTTTTGATGTAGCGATTCACATAGCTCATTAAAATTGGAGTCACATAAGACTCCAGCATTCTTTAAGGTACAGAGGAGTCAAAGTCAGAAGCTGAAAGGGATAAAGACAGAAACATTAGAGGTAACTGAGTCTGTGGCGCATTCCTTAAGGAAAAGGCGTTTCTCAGGAAAGGTTGAAGAGGCCGAAAAGCAACAGTCCCCACCAAAGTGGCCGCTCGCCTTCCCCCAGAAGCAGAGAAAACTCAAATGGACTCTGCTCCAGCCGCGACTGCCTCACTAGTACAACTCCCCTCAACTCGCCTGGCGAGGAGTGGGAGGAAGAGGTGGTGACCTAAAGAAAGCGGGTCCCCTGGAGTGGGAAAATGAGGAAAGGCAGGCTCGCCTTTGGCCGCCGCACCCCTCCCTTAGCCAGCCCAGCCGCCCCAGGAGGCCCTCGCCCCCCCTGGAACCCGGCCGGATCTACCACCGTAGAAACAGAGCCAGAAGCAGGCCGTACGCTTCTCGCCGTATTGCACCCTCGGGTGACACGCCGAAGAGTACCGTGGCGTCTCCTCCACCTCCCGGTACCCGGCACCCGCCTGCTGAGGCGGCGCAGCTCCCGTACAGCGCACTTCCGGGTGTGCCCCGCTCGGTGCTCGAAACAAACTAACCCTCCACCGCCACCACTCGACTCCGCAGCAGGGCCGGAGTTCTCAGGCTGGAGAAGCCATTCAGTGCCTCTTCTAGGAGGAGACCGCTGGCGCTCGACCAGCCTGCGTCTCCGCTCCTACCCAGCCAGTGGTTCGCACAAAGCTCTAGGAAGTGCGCGGGGGAGGTGGGCGGACCGGTAAAGCGGAGACACCGGAGATCCGGAAGTGGTGCTGCGGCAAGAGAGCAGCTGAGGTGGATATCGAGTCCGAGTGAGGAAGCACGGAGGGCCGATAGGTCCGATGAGGAGGAAGAAAGCGGGTCCTAGTGTTTAAAGCCCTGAAAACTAAGTGGTTTTTGGTTTTCTTAGGAAATGGAAGACCTGGAAAGAACTTGGGTTCAGTGCGCAGAGCAGTAGCAATAAGGCTGCAGGTGGGGTGGGGGGTAAATTTAGATCGAGAGCTTCATTCGCGGGGGGAAAGGAGAAGTTGAAGGGATCAGGATTAGGAGACTGCGTTTTGACCAAACGTGCAGACGAGCTCTCGCGTTCTTTTACTTTGGCGAAGGAGTGGTTTAGTATGTTTAAATTTGTGCGGGGAAGGAATAAAGAGAAAATCGTGGAGGTCCATTGGATTGCAGTCCGATATATGGAACTTCAGAGAAGCGGTAGGAATAGCAGAAGGAAATAAGACTCTTAGAGAAAGTGAAAAGAAATAGCTGATAGATAATGAATTCAAAGTTTTTTAAGGGTCAGTATTGGTTTTATTAGGCTGAAATGAATGTATAAAATACTACCTTTCCTTCTAGTACTTTGCAAGCTTACGAAGTCAAGAAACTCAAACACCCAACACCGGATAAACACCTATATACTGGGCTTAAAGGGATAGCATAGGACATGCTGCCTAATTATTGGCCAGTATTTACTATTTTTGGTAACCTCTGAAGAAGACACCTACCACTGCATTTTGAAAATAGACTTTCCTTACAAGGTTATTAAAATATCCACCCATGTTGTCGTTGCATTTAATTGAAAACACTTCCTAAGTAAATTCCTAAAACTCTTTATTGGAATTCGATTTAAGATTTCTTTTCTTTTTAATTTTTGAATTTTATTTTTTTTATACAGCAGGTTCTTATTAGTTATCCATTTTATACATATTAGTGTATGTATGTCAATCCCAGTCTCCCAATTCATTGGTGATATGATGAAGTTGAGGTTTCTTGAAAGAGTTTTAGAAACTGCCATAGGAAAGAGGCATAAGTGAGGATGCCAAGGTGTTTAGATCTATTTTGTTAATGAAAATAAGGAACTAAGTTTCAAAAAGAAAGAAGGTGGGGTGGTTGGAGAAAGAGGAAGGAAGGAAAGAAAAAAAAAGGAAAGAGAAGCAGCTAATGGCTAATTCAGAGCAGCTGTCCTCTCACAAAAAGCGAGTAACCCAAGTAACTTGGGTCTTATTAAAGCCTACTAAATCAGCCAAGTAAATTATCCAAGGAATTAGTTATCTGCTTCACCTGAAAAGTGAAGAGGTTGAAGCCATGGCTCAGAAGTTTTAATATAAATGGTTGCACTAATTGTTTGAAAGCCCTAGGTGGTCTAGAGCAGGAGCTCCAAGTCCTGTTATTCTGCTAGGGAAGAAAAAGGGCCTAGTCTTATTTGTGTGGCAATTTAATAAATGAGACCAATATATTAAGATAAATTAGCCAGATATTTTTAACAACTTTATTGGACTATAACTGTTTACAATAGTGTGTTAGTTTCTGCTTTATAACAAACTGAAACAGCTATACCTATACATATATCCCCGTATCCCCTCTCTCTTGCAACTCCGTCCCACCCTCCCTATCCCACCCCTCTAGGTGGTCACAAAGCACTGACCTGTCCTCCCTGTGCTAAGCGACTGCTTCCCACTAGCTATTTTACATTTGGTAGAATATAGAAATCCATGCCAGTCTCTCACTTCGCCCCAGCTTATCCTTCACCCTCCCCCGGTTCCTCAAGTCCATTCTCAACATCTACATCTTTATTCCTGTCCTGCCCCTACGTTCTTCATAGCCATTTTTTTTTAGATTCCATATATATGTGTTAGCATACGGATTTGTATTTCACTTTCTGACTTACTTCACTCTGATAACAGACTCTAGCCCCATCCACCTCACTACAAATAACTCAATTTCGTTGCTTTTTATGGCTGAGTAATATTCCATTGTATATATATATATATATATATATATATATATGCCACATCTTCTTTATCCATTCATCTGTCGATGTACACTTAGGTTGCTTCCATGTCCTGGCTATTGTAAATTGAGCTGCAGTGAACACTTTGGTACATGAATGTGTTTTTTGGGGTTTTTTTTTAACATCTTTATTGGAGTATAATTGCTTAACAATGGTGTGTTAGTTTCTGCTTTATAACAAAGTGAATCAGTTATACATATACATATGTTCCCATATCTCTTCCCTCTTCCAGCTCCCTCCCTCCCAACCTCCCTATCCCACCACTCTAGGTGGTCACAAACCACCTAGCTGATCTCCCTGTGCTATGTGGCTACTTCCCACTAGCTATCAATTTTACGTTTGGTAGTGTATATATGTCCATGCCACTCTCTCACTTTGTCACAGCTTACCCTTCCCCCTGCCCATTTCCTAAAGTCCATTCTCTAGTAGGTCAGTGCCTTTATTCCTATCTTGCCCCTAGGTTCTTCATGACTTTTTTTTCCTTAGATTCCATATATGTGTGTTAGCATATGGATTTGTTTTTCTCTTTCTGACTTATTTCACTGTGTATGACAGGCCCTAGGTCCATCCACCTCACTACAAATAACTCAATTCCGTTGCTTTTTATGACTGAGTAATATTCCATTGTATATATGTGCCACATCTTCTTTATCCATTCATCTGTTGATGGACACTTAGGTTGCTTCCATGACCTGGCTATTGTAAATAGAGCTGCAATGAACACTGTGGTGCCTGACTCTTTTTGACTTACGGTTTTCTCAGGATATATGCCCAGTAGTGGGATTGCTGGGTCGTATGGTACTTCTATTTTTAGTTTTTTAAGGAACCTCCATACTGTTCTCCAGAGTGGCCATATCAATTTACATTCCCACCAACAGTGCAAGAGGGTTCCCTTTTCTCCACACACCCTCCAGCATTTATGGTTTGTAGATTTTTTGATGATGGCCATTCTGACCGGTATGAGATGATATCTCATTGTAGTTTTGATTTGCATTTCTCTAATGATTAATGATGTTGAGCATTCTTTCATGTGTTTGTTGGCAAACTGTATATCTTCTTTAGAGAAATGTCTGTCTAGGTCTTCTGCCCATTTTTGAGATTGGGTTGTTTGTTTTTTTGATATTGAGCTGCATGAGCTGCTTGTAAATTTTGGAGATTAATCCTTTGTCAGTTGCTTCATTTTCAAATATTTTCTCCCATTCTGAGGGTTGTCTTTTGGTCTTGTTTATGGTTTCCTTTGCTGTGCAAAAGCTTTAAGTTTCATTAGTTCCCATTTGTTTATTTTTGTTTTTATTTCCATTTCTCTAGGAGGTGGGTCAAAAAGGATCTTGCTGTGAGTTATGTCATAGAGTGTTCTGCCTATGTTTTCCTCTAAGAGTTTGCTAGTGTCTGGCCTTACATTTAGGTCTTTAATCCATTTTGAGTTTATTTTTGTGTATGGTGTTAGGGAGTGTTCTAATTTCATTATTTTATATGTAGCTGTCCAGTTTTCCCAGCACCACTTATTGAAGAGGCTGTCTTTTCTCCACTGTATATTCTTGTCTCTTTTATCAAAGATAAGGTGACCATATGTCCGTGGGTATATCTCTGGGCTTTCTATCCTGTTCCATTGATCTATATTTCTGTTTTTGTGCCAGTACCATACTGTCTTGACTACTGTAGCTTTGTAGTATACTCTGAAGTCAGGGAGCCTGATTCCTCCAGCTCTGTTTTTCTTTCTCAAGATTGCTTTGGCTATTTGGGGTCGTTTGTCTTTCCATACAAATTGTGAAATTTTTTGTTCCAGTTCTGTGAAAAATGCCAGTGGTAGTTTGATAGGGATTGCATTGAATCTGTAGATTGCTTTGGGTAGTAGAGTCATTTTCACAATGTTGATTCTTCCAATTCAAGAACACGATATATCTCTCCATCTATTTGTATCATCTTTAATTTCTGTCATCAGTCTTATAATTTTCTGCATACAGGTTTTTTGTCTCCTTAGGTAGGTTTATTCCTAGATATTTTATTCTTTTTGTTGCAATGGTAAATGGGTGTGTTTTGTTCATTTCACTTTCAGATTGTTCATCATTAGTGTATACGAATGCTAGAGATTTCTGTGAATTAATTTTGTATCCTGCTACTTTACCAAATTCATTGATTAGCTCTAGTAGTTTTCTGGAAGCATCTTTAGGATTCTCTATGGATAGTATCATGTTATCTGCAAACAGTAACAGCTTTATTTCTTCATTTCCGATTTTTATTCCTTTTATTTCTTTTTCTTCTCTGATTGCTGTGACTAAAACTTCCAAAACTATGTTGAATAATAGTGGTGAGAGTGAGCAACCTTGTCTTGTTCCTGATGTTAGTTGGAAATGCTTTCAGTTTTTCCCCGTTGAGGACGATGTTGGCTGTGGGTTTGTCATATATGACCTTTATTATGTTGAAAAAAGTTCCCTCTATGCCTACTTTCCAGAGGATTTTTATCATAAATGAGTGTTGAATTTTGTCAAAAGCTTTCTCTGCATCTATTGAGATGATCATATGGTTTTTCTCCTCCAGTTTGTTAATATGGTGTATCACATTGGTTGATTTGCGTATATTGAAAAATCTTTGCATTACTGGGGTAAACCCCACTTAATCATAGTGTATGATCCTTTTAACGTGCTGTCAGATTCTGTTTGCTAGTATTTTGTTGAGGATTTTTGCATCTATATTCATCAGTGATATTGGCCTGTAGTTTTCTTTCTTTGTGACATCTTTGTCTGGTTTTGGTATCAGGGTGATGGTGGCCTTGTAGAATGTGTTTGGGAGTGATCCTCCCTCTGCTATATTTTGGAAGAGTTTGAGGATAGGTGTTAGCTCTTCTCTAAATGTTTGATAGAATTAGACTATGAAGCCATCTGGTCCTGGGCTTTTGTTTGTTGGAAGATTTTT